TTCAGGGACTCCTCTTTTTTTCTCATCTTAGGCTCTGTCTAAGGTGTCCTCTCAGTTCATAGTGGCTGGGGCACTGAAAACAGTTTACCTCACCTTATGAATCTGTGAAGGGCACCTAAGACTTCTTTCACAGGAGCTGTTTTATCTCCTGTCTTAGAAATCCATTGATTTCTAAGATCAGAGATAAAAACACACTAGTGTGAAAGAAGTCTTAGGTGTTCTTCACTGATTCATAAGGTGAGATGAACTGTTTTCAGTGCCCCAGTCACTAGGAACCTAGGGAGGTCACCCTAAGGCCAAGCCTAATTCCAAGGTGAGGGACTATGTCCCTCAGCCTTAGGGGGGTGGGAAGGAGGACCCCCCTCCCCCAGGAAGGGGCTGGGAGGAGGACCTCCCCCACACAAATTAATTTGTAAAGTGGTTTTAAATAAAACTTTAAAATTTCAATATAACTTTTATTTATACTTCCAGTACATTCTATGATTGCAAAGGAGGGGGGTTCTCCCCCCCTCTCCAAGGGGTAGGAGTTACCCATCCCCCTAAGGCTGAGGGACATAGTCCCTCATCTTGGAATTAGGCTTGGCCTTAGGGTGACCTCCCTAGGTTCCTAGTGACTGGGGCACTGAAAACAGTTCATCTCACCTTATGAATCAGTGAAGAACACCTAAGACTTCTTTCACACTAGTGTGTTTTTATCTCTGATCTTAGAAATCAATGGATTTCTAAGACAGGAGATAAAACAGCTCCTGTGAAAGAAGTCTTAGGTGCCCTTCACAGATTCATAAGGTGAGGTAAACTGTTTTCAGTGCCCCAGCCACTATGAACCGAGAGGACACCTTAGACAGAGCCTAAGATGAGAAAAAAAGGGGAGTCCCTGAACCTGGCTCACGCCAGGTCCGAGGGCCAAGGTTCTCCCCCAAGAGGATCCTGACTCCTGGAACCACTGGACAAACAAGCATGCTGGTCCAAAAGCCAATCACCACTAGGAAGAAGCCCCCTGACCCCAGCTCAAAAGGATAAAAAAAATGGTACCAATCTTCTTCAGGACCGGCTCTCCTTGTCCTAGGATTCAGTGTATCCTTGAAGAGGCTCGCCTGAAGATCCTTAAAAAAAAAGGGAACCTAAGCAGCCTAACGCTGACACCTAGATACAGCAATTGCTGCTCCTAAAACCAAAACTCCAGCAAAACCCAAGTGCTCCAAGTACTTCCCAGAGACTCAAGGAAGCAGAAAAAGAGTTCAAATGCAGACCAGTCAGTGAGCAAGATGGAAACACAGAAGAAGTCAGTGCAGTCTGCTGGCATGGTGCTGAAGTCATTGCAGCACCAAGGTGAGGTGTGGGATGGAAATTCTGAATAAGGTGACCAGTAACTTTCTGTCAGCTGTATCAGCGACTATGAACCCCTTAATACTGTGTGAGCTATGTACAATACTACTAACGAAAAGAAATGATCATTATGTTGACCTCCTAGATAAATAAAAATAATAATAATAAGCAGCACTATATAAATAAACCAATATTAATACAAAGGTCTGACGACCCAAGGGAGCAGAACAAAGATAAAACACCAATAGGAAAGATGAAGTGATCTGGTTGAGCCCAGATTCTTTCTACTCCTACTTTATTTCAGTTTCACCACTTTTCCTTCAACCCCTAACAATCTTCTTTCACCTCATAACTAAAGACTCCGTACCGTACCTAGTTGCCAGTTTAAGCGTTGTTTCTGCCGTCTACCTTTAATGCCACTTGTGACAGTTTTCGGGGCATTTAACCAAGCCAGTGTTAACAATTATCTCGTGTTAGATAACGTCTTATATGTAATAGTATTTCTTCACATTTTTTTGTATTTAGCAACTTGGCCAATAAATCTAGTGACATTCACTGACCGAGCTGCTGCAGGCCAGCCAGCTGTTCCCAGGTGCCTGTCTTGTTAACAACTTTACACCACATTCATGTAAACATTTATAAAATCCTGGAGCCTTATATCAATATACAATAACTGCATTGTTTTTAAATTTAACAACAAATATTACAAGTAACAGTCCCAGTAACGTTTGTTTGTAAGAAATTGCAGTTAACACCGAAAGATATTTTAATATTTTGAAATGTGTCGGTGTGTAGGGACACCCATAATGTGACTAGTGTAAACACTGAACCCAAGCAGAGTTCAGCAACAGTTACTCTTCTGGAAAAATGCTTCAGTTAGGTAAAACTTGTTTATGAGTGCTGGAAATTAAGTGACCGAGACCTGCTGGTACAGCACAGTGAAAATCTGATGCTAGTGGTGGAGCGTATTTAGAGATCGACATTGTATACCCGTTGTATAAGACGACTCTTAGTTTTAAACAAACAAATTGGAGCTTCAAAGGACAACTTACAGGTCACTGTACTGGACATCTACATGAGTAAAGTTGGACTCTCAAACAAACCTCCAAAACATAACTCATTCATCAGTAGAGGAGCTCCTATAGTGGCTTCTAATCATTGTGTACAGTACATCATTTGGGGGAAGTATTTTCATCGCAGAAAAGTATCTTGGCTTTTATAATGGGAGTCTGGAAAAATTTATGTCATTTACTAAAGGTTTCTCAGGAACAAAACTTTTATAAACTGAGGGATGTCTGTATAACCTTTCTAATATTAAAAGTACCAGAAAATATTAAATAAAATACCAGATAGTAATTACGGTCCAGTTAACTTCAGGTCTAGTTCACTGCAGGTCCAGCTCAATTCAGGACCATTTCAGCCAGTGGGGGAGAAAGTATATGAAAATATTACTTAAGATAAAGTACTGTACTGTTACTAAGTAAAAATTAAAACTTGTACAAAGTACAGGGAGTCCCCGACTTATAAACGGCCGATATGAACGGTGTTAAACTTGAAACTTACAATATTTCATCAGATGACATTTTTTACTTTCATTTACTGTATTGTCAATCTATTTCTTTTTTGTCTTAAATTAATTGATTTTAGATGTATATAAGGACTTAGGCTATGATTTAGTGTGATTTTAAACATTGTTCTGTAAGTATGGTATGCTCATGGCGCGTGATCCGACTAAGAATGTCGTCAGAAATGGAACCTGTTCGTAAACTGGGGGCCCCCTGTAATCTTCTTCAAAACTACTTTAATAATAGATTAATTAACTGAAGTGAAACAAAAAACTAGAAAGGTGAAAACAAAAAAGTAGTATTCGTAAAAGTGCACCAAGGCTATATAGTCTAGGTACAAAAAATGAGCACTTCTAGGCATGCAAGACTATATAGCCTTGGATCACAATTTTGGCACCCAATATATAGCCTTGGTACATGACATGCACAATTCTGGCACCCAAGACTATATATAGTTGGTACACTTCAAGGCACCCAAGGCTCAGTATACAGCTACTCCTCAAATTACGACCTTCTGGCCATACAACCGCCTCGGTCGCACTAATTTTTTTCAAAATACGTATTTTCGAGTCCCGACTTTAGTGATTGCGCTGTGTACTGACAAAATTTTCGTTTGTAATTCCCTCCAAAATGTCTGGCATTTGTGGTGCTGAGAAGAAAAAGAGACACCCATTTCAGATTTTCTAAGTATTATCTTCTCATTTTCGACTTACGACCTGGATTTGGGTCCCTCACCCCCTCGTAAGTCAAGGAGTGGCTGGAGTGCAGTACAGGACCAAACAGTATAATACAGAACAGTACATTACAATACAGTATAGTACAGTACAATAAAATACAGTACAATACAATATACTACAAAACAATATAGAACAGTACAGTATAATATAGTACAGTATAATAGAATATAGTACAGTACAGTACAATATAATATAGTATGGTATAATAGAATATAGTACAGTTCAATAAAATATAGTACAGTACCACACAATACAGTACAACACAATACAGTACAGTACAATATCGTACAGTACAATATATTACAGTACAATATAGTACAGTACAGTACAATATAGTACAGTACAATATAGTACAGTACAGTACAATAAATATAGTACAATATAATATAGTACAGTACAATACAATATAGTACAGTACAATATAATACAGTACAATATAGTACAATACAATATAATACAGTACAGTACAATATAGTACAGTACTGTACAATATAGTACAGTACAATACAATATAGTACAGTACAATACAATATAGTTCAGTACAATATAATAAAGTACAGTACAATATAGTACAGTACAATACAATATAATACAGTACAATATAGTACAGTACAATACAATACAATATACAGTAATATAGTACAGTACAATACAATATAGTACAGAGCAATACAATACAGCACAATATAATACAGTACAGTACAATATAATACAGTACAGTACAATATAGTACAGTACAATACAATATAATACAGTACAATATAGTACAGTACAATATATACTAATACAGTACAATACAATATAGTACAGTACAATATAATACAGTACAATACAATATAGTACAATACAGTTGTGAAAAACACAAATGTATGAGGCACTCGGTGGAAGCGAGTTAGTGGTCAAGCAAGATGTTTGTTTCAACAGTTGCCAGAGGATATACAGTATAAAACTATAAGTGTGGTGGGATACAGTGTAAACAAACTTTAACCTTGCTTGTGGTCTTGGCACATACATCACTCTACCACCAGGCACCTCACATTATGTACACATTGAATCATTTTACATAAATACTTCATGTCAAGTTCTGCAAATTAATTATTTTTCCACTACAACTTAAATGAACTTTGTTAAGTAGTGTTTGGTTAATCCACACAAGCATGATGGTCCATTAAGAGCAGTGTACTGTATATTGAACCTTGTGATTAACACTGCCTTCACTTCCCCAACAGGTGAACCTACAGTACTGTACATTAATTTACATGTACAGGTATCCTCTAACATACTGTATAGCACTAAGGGTTCTCAGTTAAAAAACATATTGAATGGTAGAACTCTTGTATTATGTTCTGGGAGGGAAAAATCAGTCAACTGGTGGGTTTTTCACCAATATAATTCTTGTAAAATAATAAATACATTAAACACAACCAACATTCTGCAATAGTGCCAATGCACCACTGGGCTATACTGACCGTGTGACTGAGGGGAATTTGTTAAAAGTCAAACTGATATTTTTGTAATTATGATTGTTCATTTATTGGACATACTGTAAGTATCTTGGGGGATACCTGTACTTTATTAAAATATATGATGAGCCTATCTGTGTTAAACTGAACCCTGTAAGTTACTAACACACAGTTGCTAACTATTCTAATACCAATGACAGATAACACTCTCTCTCCTCCTGTACTGTAGTCTTCAATCACTATTACATCAAGGCTTCAGTTCACCTCAAATGGTAACATAATCTGCCAAGAATCAGTAGATAAGTTTTCTTCTGTACAGGAGCCGTGATATAAGGTGCTGTGCTGTGTTGCTGCAGGACCAGACGTCTCCTCCTGTGTCGAGTACAACTTATTACAGAAATATCAAGATACACCATATGTATGGCACTTAGATAAAATACTTAACAATGGTGTGTATGTATGTATGTGACAAGTGTATTAGTGCAGAATTACAAGGAGTTAGTTAATATTTACACCTTCACAACACAAGAGCCAATGTGAACTTGGATGGTAATTTTAATGACTAACTAACGATTTATTTATCCCATACTTTAATGGAAATAATCTTTGGATGTCCTTCCTAAATTATCCTTGGTTTAGTGGACTTACATTGTGTATTTGTAGTACATGATGAACAAATATAAACTTGTACAATATGATGACTTTATTAAACACTAGTTGGTGCACGACCATCCCTTAGGCTACCAGCACCTCTCTGCACAACTAATGCTGGTCCAAGCAAAAGGCACCTCCTAGCAAAATAACCTGATCTCTGAGCTAAGAGGTAAGGGTCATCTGAAGTTCTTTCCTCCAGAGAGAATTCTCTTCCAGTTCTCTGGTCAAAAACTTCCAGATGAGAGATTTGACAGTGAACCTGTGAGGGAGGCCACACATACCCAACGCACATGGTATTTTGAGGTAACAAGCTGTGCAGTTTTAATCAGGCTAACTACAGTCCTAGAATTAGCTTCCTGATCCATACTAAATAAATTAGGACAACTTATCCTTGAATTATAATTAGGCTAAACATTTCAGACATTACCCTAACTTAGAAAAATAAAGGGGGGTCCCTAGACCAGATTAATACTGGTCCTAAGACCAACAGACTGCTGACCCCTGGACCAGGCTAATGGTCTCTGGATCACTCATCTCTCCATAAAGTCTCCTGATCCCAACTGGTAATGAAAAAAATACCAAGGTTCACAATGTTAATTACTTGCCAGCTATGGGTTTCCAAGTTGAGATTTAGGTGTGTGTGTTATTCTGGATGTATCTAATTAGTTAAACCCCTTAAATTATAATTCTGAGAGAAAAGTATATTTGGTCAAAAATTTTGTTTGTGTGTTTTCTCATGGACTGAAACTGTGCCTACAATACACCATTCACAGGGAGATACAGTGTACACAGTGATAGCACCAAGAGATATAGACGAGAACGGGAAAAGAAAGTACTGTAGTATAAGGAAATAATAGTTAAAATAAAAAAATAAAAATATAATCAACAAGTTTGGCCATCCTAAAAGGCATTCTATTACTGCCCCAAAGAAAGATTTATTTTATTTTTCTGGGTTTCTTAAGGACTGAAAGGGTGTATAAAATCCATTAGTCATAGCACAATGCAGTGTACATAGAGATAGCACGTAAATACTGACAAATTGCAGAAGTGAACTGAAAAAAAAATAAGAGAAGACAACCCTAAAGGCAACAGGGGAGGATAAAACCAGCAGAGGGCAGCTAAGTACTGTTTTTTTTCTTTATTCTTAAATAAATGTAGATCTATACACAGTCTGCACCCCCCCCCAACAACAACCATGAGTATGATATGAGATTAATGCGGGGATAACAGATATGGATGATACAGGCCTGACTAATGCAACATTTAGGACGATGCAAGCTGCTGTAAAGCATGAAGGCTGTTGCTGGTATTGCCCTGACTGCATAGTCAAGGTGAAAGAGGCGATTGCAAGCCAAAGGGGAACGAGTTCCCCAAGGACGAAAATAGATGACGCTAGAGCCTTGCTGGTTGCCAAACTACGACAAGTTGGGAAAGAGATCCTTGCTAAGACTGAGGAAGTAGCCGATATAATGGAGGTAGTTGTTAAGAGAAATTATGCCGAGGCATTAGCAGGGCTACTGGAGGTGGCGGAGAGTAATTTAGGATCAGAACAGGTTCTACAGCAGCTAGGAACCCTGAAGCAGTGTGTCGAAGAAATGGAAATTAACGGACCTACTGTTAGGGAAGAGGAGGAACAACTGGAACATTTCCAGCGCAGGAACAATGTAATAGGTTTTGGAGTCCCTGAGAGCCAGGTGGAGGGAACTTAGAGTAAGATAACACACGATAAGATGTAGTTTAAGAATATTTGTACAGAGGTTCTGAAGATGCCATCAACCCTCCCAGGATGTGAGGAGGCTGGGACAACAGCAGGGAGATAAGCCTGGTCCCCCCAGGATCACACTAGTGAGTGAGGAGGAGAAATGGAAGGTTATTCGGCAGGCAAAAAACTGAGCAAGGAGCGAGGCATCTTGGAGTGTATTCATTCACCCAGAATGCACGGTAATGCAGAGGGAACAGCACAGGAAGCTCCTGCAGGGCTTGAAGCAGAGAAGGGATGAGTCGAGGAGGAACAGGGAGAGGGTAGTGGAAGCAAGTGTGCCAACACAGAGACAAGGGGGCAACAGCGCACCCCCCACCCGGGAGGAGGCGAGCACGGTGTAAACAATGACATACAGTGTACTTAGCAAATGCTGCAGCTTCTGAGAATGGGGGGGGGGGGTGTTACTACTAAGAGCAGAGACATTACCGAGAACAAATTCTGGCTCGAATGTCATGTACACTAATTCTGACATGTTTCTTGATAAGAGAGAGGAGTTTGAAACACTACTGAAGGTACACCAACCAGATATTGTAGGAGTTGCAGAACTGGGGCCGGATACTCAAAACACCTCATAAGTTATGTCTTTTAGCATGATACAGTACCATATATTGTCGAATCTTTACAGTACCGTAAATTTAGCATACTCAAAATTTAATTACAGTTCCGTAAGCCTTTCGTAAGTATTCATAACTCTAGTGTTTACCCTGTAAATTAAGTTCTCTTGTCGGAAGGTAGATGTCAGTGCAGGAGCTAGTTGGCCAATCAGCGCTCAGTTAACAAAATCATCAACCAATCACAAGAGAAGGAGAAATCAGCTGAGAGCGACGCACATAATATTATTTTGTAAACATGGAAGGAACACCAGCCAAGAAGAGACGGCCTAATTTCAGTGAGGCTGAAGTATACACTATTCTGGGCAAATTCAAATAAATTGGTTATTGATAACATAGCTTTGCCGAACCTAAATGACAAATCACTTCTCTTAAATTACTCATTTAGCCTAGACCCTGGTGTTTTCCTTTCAATGTTGGGGACATTTGGTCTGAATTGTCTTCAAGTTCATACAAAAAACAACAATTTAAAACCTGAAATTATATCGGATTAGCCGTAAATTTTCTTAAATTAATACTCTACCTATGATAATGTTGAAAGTCTGGAACTAGGCCTAAGGTAGCTGCTAGACAAAGTGTCTCACTGACGGCCTGACACTCACCAAAAAACCATGTACACATTCTCTAATCTAACCTAACATACCATAACATAACCAAACCTCTCTAACCTATAACCTATTGGTATAATTTCTTATTCAAATAATCCTCATGTTCTAACTAAATTAAGTAGGCCCCAAGTTTAAGCATTTATTTGTCTAAGACTGAAAAAGAGTTATATAGGCCCCAATTAATCAAGTTAATTGCAATCCATATGTTACGCTTAATATCGTTTAATTTTGGCTAGCCTATGGAAATTTATAGCCTTTCATGTTATCATAAGCCATATACATAAGAAAATAGGCTAAGACTATTGGTTGAATATTAGAAAAACAAGGTGAAGTCTTGGCAGGAATGTTCACTTGACCTCATATTGGCTTTCATTACTGAGGGATATTTACGGCTATACAACATTAATAAGTTCTATCTGCAAGTTCACTCAGTCATAAAACATATTTTTACCCTAAGTGTGAACAATACAAACCTTCTGTTTTGGTAAAAAATACTTTATAATTTGTAAGAAGACAAAAGATGCGTCTCTTCCAAACTGAGACAAATACAAACACTCAAGCCGCTTATTATGGCAACAAAACAGTTACAAAAAAGACAAAGTGAAATATTATATTTCAGTATGTTGGTATACAAAATATTTTCTTCATTATTCTATGATAAAACAAGTCAACATTACAACATATATTATTATTATATTTTTATACAATAGGGAATTAGTCACTACTACATCCGGGTTGAGAGTGTTACACAACCTCAAGAGTGCCAACGGAGTTCGATGTCAAATATTTGTTTTGAGTATACCATCTGTGTTTTGAGTATGCCAATCTGAGACTGTAAGTCCAGTTACGGGGTACACAACGACATACAGTCCCATAAATGTTTTTGAGTATCCTGCCCCTGTTAGTACAAGAACAGGAGAATCGACCCAGAGGAATGCGAGTTCAGTATAGCTGGATATGACTCATTTACGATCCTTTCTCAAAAAACTTGCAAGAGGGGTGTGGTTATCTATGCTAGGCAAGACCTTAGAGCCAGCCAGGTGAGAGTACAGGGAGTGGATGTTTTTGAAGAGTCCAAATGGTGTAAAATTAAATTACTTATCGTCGGGTGTATCTACAGATCCCCAAACTGTGGCCCACTAAATCAAAGGAACTTAAGAGCCTTAATAGACACTGCAGCAATGCTCAACCCTAGCCACCTCCATATCATGTGTACTTTAACTATGGCGACATAGACTGGAAAAACGAGTTCACCCCAAATGACTTGAATAACCCTGTTACTCTTTTTTTAGAAACTCTGAGAGATAATTTTCTGTTCCATCATGTTAGAGACCCGACACATTACAGAGGGGAGCAAACACCCAAGCCACTAGACCTCATCAAAACAAATGAGGAGGGTATGGTGGCCAAACTGGAACACCTTGCCCCAGTTGGCATCAGTCACCACATAGTGTTGTCCTTCAGATTTAACTGTTACCTAGTTCAAGATAAGGCCAGGCCAAGGTGCAAATATTACAAGGGAAATTACAATGGGATGAGGGAAGAGATGAGGGGAATCCACTGGCCCAACTCATTGAGGCACAAGAACACATACACTACGCTGAATATCATAACTAGTAAAGTGACCCATTTGATCTATAAATATATACCCAAGACCAAACCCAGTGCCTCTAGGAATATGAGGGGGTCCCTACACATAAACCATGCGGCGGTTGACAAAGTTAAGAAGAAAACCCAGAATTCAAGACGTAGGTTGGGTCAAGCGATGAGCAGGACAGGAGGATGTATGCAAGAGCCAGAAAACAAGCAAAGGTAGGTGTAGAAGGGCTGAAAAGGAGTTCCAGAGGCTGGTTGCAAGTGAGGTCAAGACAAATCCAAAGGCGTTTTACCGCTATGCAAAGTCGAAATTAAAAATGCGAGTAGGAGTATCAGACCTGAGGCTTGAAGATGGTAGTTACACAGATTCTGACTAGGATAAAGCCGAGGCATTGAACAGCTTCTTTTCCTTGGTGTTCACAGGAGAGGATGCGATTAACCTTCCTGAGTTTGGGGACAAACGGTTCGACACAGCACTGACCCACATTATGTTCACAGAAGAGGGTATTAGAAATAAACTGTCAAAGCTGAAGGTCCATAAGAGTACTGGCCCTGACATTGTGCATCCCAGAGTGCTAAGAGAGTTGTGCAACAAGCTTGCCGAGCCCCTAAAGATCCTGTTTTGGAAATGCCTGGATGAACAAAAGGTCCCCAGTGATTGGAAAGTGGTTTATGCGAGTCCTATACTCAAGAAGGGTGATCGCCACTCCACGAAAAACTATAGAGGGGTGAGCCTGACCAGCATAATATGTAAAATACTTGAGAGTACTATCAGAGATGCCGTGATGGAACATCTACTACGAAACAACCTTGTAGAGGATTGTCAACATGGTTTTATGCCGGGGCGTTCCTGCTTAACACAATTGCTCAAAGTATTGGATATTTGGACCCATATTCTGGAACGGGGTGGTAATATCGATAACCTATACCTAGATTTTGCCAAGGCTTTCAACAGTGTACCCCACAAAAGGCTGAAAATCAAACTGGAAGGGTACGGTATTCGGGGAAATATCCTAGCGTGGATAGAAGACTTTCTATATGACTGCAAGCAGTGTGTGGTGATTAATAGCACAAAATCATCATCTGTACCTGTCACAAAAGGGGTACCACAGGGCAGTGTAGGGCCCGCTGTCGTTTGTTTATTTCATAAATAACATGCCTGACGTTGTACACTCCTCCATACAAATGTTGCTGATGATGCCAAGTTATTTCAGGAAATCAAGTACCATGCAAACTGTGAAGAGCTGCAGAAGGATCTCTGTCAGCTCCAAAAAAGGTCGAAGAAATGGCTACTGAGATTCAAAGTCTAGAAGTGTAAGAGGATGCACCTGGGGCGTACCAACAGTAAGGAGGCATATCAAATGTCCCAACGGGATGAAGAAACTGCACTATTTGAGACTGAATGTGAGGACCTAGGTGTGTATGTTGACAATGAGCTGAAGTTCTCGGGCCATTGCGAGAAGAAGGTAAATCAGGCCTTTGGGTGGCCAATCACAGCAATGACCACAACTCAATTAAAAAAAAAAATTGTCTTATGACAAAGATTTTGTGGTTGTAGGCCTCTTGACCTGGGCTGTACCTCCAACTCAGTGGAGATTGAGTTTTAAAAAATACAATTGCATCTAGCATTAAAAATCCTTTATCGGTTTACACTTTCACCTCACTCAGACGATTCCGATGATCTCATGTAATCACTGTCAAATTGTTGCCGCTCATCAACGAAGGCCCGAGTTTTAATCAGGCTAACTACAGTCCTAGAATCAGCTTCCTGATCCATACTAAATAAATTAGGACAACTCATCCTTGACCTATGTTGTATCTTATGTCACCAATCAGATACATTTTTACATCTTAATTTATAAGAAATATTCAACATACCTTTGAGATTCCATCACCTTGAATCACACAATCAGATACAACCTTGCATCTTAACTTAGGAGAAATACTCAACATACTTTACATTTGAGACTATAGACCAGAGCTAAAACGTGAAGACATCTTGGTGCACAAGTGACGGCTTCTGCCCAGCCAACACCAGCAATGGTTGTGTGTGTGTTGGGTCATGCTCGACCTTATGCCTTCCTCCAACCTGTTGAGAGAAGAGATTGTGAATTTTCTGGTACAATGATGGTGACTTTCAACTTTTAATGATCTCATTATGTATCTAAGTCAGAGAGTTTAGGGTTTTTATTTATTTTTTCTATGTGTGTGAGTGTGAGAAAGATAAACAAAGAGAGAGAGATAGAGCGTCAAAATACCCAAAACATGATATAAGAACAACATACAGCATCAACCATGCACGACCCAAGACACACAGCATGATATGTGATACCTGGAAGACACCCAAGGCTATAGCCTTGGGTGTCTTTTTTGGGGTGTTTGAAGCACCCAAGGTTATATTCAAACAAGTAAAATAGCCTATGGTGCTAGTAATTCCCTGATGTACTGTACAGCAAGTCATCACACTAACTTGGTACTCAATAACAAAGGTTATTTACCATTGTTCAAACTATAGTTACTTATGTTTAAAGTGTTTTCTTTGCTGAAGGCATCAAAGCAAATTACATTGGTAAGTGACTATACATGACTGAAGAAAAACAATACAATAACATTATGTTCATAAACCATTAAAATACATATACAAAAAATCGCCCATCCTTTTCTCCAATTTCCTGTCCATTTGTTCACGTTGGACTTCACAATGTCCATTCCAGTTGATAAAGGAGGAGGGCAACGATAAGAAAAAAAATGGGGAGTCCCTGAACCTGGCTGATGCCAGGTCCGAGGGCCAGGGTTCTCCCCCAAGAGGATCCTAACTCCTGGAACCACTGGACAAACAAGCATGCTGGTCCAAAAGCCATTTACCTCTTGGAAGAAGCCTCCTGACCCCAGCTCAAAAGGATAAAAAAAAGGCTAACCAAGTTCAGGACCGGCTCTCCTTGTCCTAGGTTTGGCACTTCCTGGATGAGGAATTCCAAACCCTTAAAAAAAAGGGAACCTGCGCAGCCTAACGCTGACTTCCGAGACACAGCAAATGCTGCTCCTAGGGTCAGTTACCTCCTCCAGGAAGCTCCTTATCCCAGATACAGAAATGTCCGAATCCTCTAGAACGGAGATATAATGTTCCGAGAGTAAGGCATTTCCCAGAACAGACTTCTGACCCCCGTTCTAAAGGGGTGGGGGAAAGGGGGCAAATGCAGTTGATGATTCTTCAAATTACATTGGTAAGTGACTATTGTATAGATGACTGATGAAAAGAGACAATACATACAGACATTACACCAATACAATACAGTATTCTCATAATAAACCATTAAAATCTTGCACTTTTCTTCTACAATTTCATTTCCATTTGTTTATGCTGGACTTCACAATGTCCATTCCAGTTGATAAAGGAGGAGGGCAACAATAAGAAAAAAAAAATGGGGAGTCCCTGAACCTGGCTGATGCCAGGTCCGAGGGCCAGGGTTCTCCTCCAAGAGGATCCTGACTCCTGGAACCATTGGACAAACAAGCATGCTGGTCCAAAAACATCCTTCCCAGTGTCATGATCGTGATGACGGCTAACCTAAAAACCTTAAGGATTCATTTTACGCTCAAACGTCCACAAAACCTGAGTCCCCCAGTGGAAACGTCCCCTGTTTTCTCTGTTTCCTTGATGACGTCATCGAGAGGCCGTCTTTGTCTAAAGGGAACTTTGAATATAATCTGCAGATTTCGTAGCAAGATGCTGTATGTTGGGACCTGTTGCCATCCAACCCTTTGTAATCAATTTAATTTTTGCTTTTGATAGCTCAGTCAGAGCATTGTTAGTGAAGATAATAGTAGGAAATGAAACTGAGTTCATAGTCTCAGTTTCAACGTCAGAGTGTACAGTAAAGTAATTCATCGAAATAGAAGTAGGTGGAGTCCCTGACCTAGCTTGAGTGAGGGTGCTGCGGGCATTTCAACCGTTAGTAAGTGCTCGCCCCTTCACCCATACAGGTAGGTCATTCCACTCTGTGTTGTGATTCGCCCTTCTTTAAGTGATTTGACCCAATTAATAGTTGATTGTGCAAGTGTTACAGTAACGCAGTTGATATGCTCTGAGTGAAGTAATGTTTACGTCTTTAACGTCCCCTGAAACGTGATGTCGCTGTCACAGTTAGTAAGTGCTCGCCCCTTCACCCATACAGGTCCCTAACACAGCCTAGGCCGTGTCTGTAGGGTGGATGTTGTATCCACTATGTCTGGAGAGATGTCCGAGGTCCAGTAGGATCAGTTATCTTCGTGAGACCCGACCGTCAGACACTTCAGACTACCTATGGCCCCCATAGCTGGCCAGTCTGACCCTAAAGCTCGGCCCGCGAGGTGACCCCGGATCACCAAGCCCCACACAACTACCAGCCCCCATCATTGGTGGATGAGTGTCTAACTCAGTAGGGCTATGGTGTGGTTGTGTTATTCCACTGGGTTCTTCAGAGTTCATTGGAAAGTACCCCATGGTGGCAGGACCCCCATGGCGGTTGCTTGATTATCACTCCTGACTACTGAGTGTTGTAGTGGCAGTTGTCCTTGGTCTTTATGGTGCTAAGTTACGATAAGAGTTTAAGTGTTATTGACTATGTCCACCCAGTAGTGGTGTGAGTGTTATTGAGTATGTCCACCCAGTAGTGGTGTGAGTGTTATTGAGTATGTCCACCCAGTAGTGGTGTGAGTATGTTGAGCCTGAGGGCATAGTACCAGGTTTCGTCTGTTGGTACATATATTCTTTCTCCTATCTCCATTTTAATGTTTAAATAAATATTGTATTTGTATATTGTGTCTATTATTTACCTACAGTATCTACCGTTATTTCTTCCCTATTACTTGATACTATCATTACATATACCCCCGAGCCTCCTCTCGTCACACTACCAATGATTATAAGTAAAATTGTTATAAGAGGCACAGGCCCTTATAACAGTACAGTAAAGTCTTATGTTCTAGTCAAGTTTCTCCCACATATACGTTACTTGAGTATAGTTTTAATTCATATCACCAGCCTTCCCTGCCTCACTGTAATACTCTTCAATTAAGTCTCCAGCAGTCTTCCCGCTCAATTAACTTTAGTCCACTCTTCCCTCACTCTGACCATAACATGGCATACAGCTCACAGGTGCAAAGAAAAATATCTAAATCAATTCTATCAGGCATTTGTATATTTAAAGCAGCATATATAGCGAAAGGTTCTGCTCTTCCTGTAGCTACATAAAAAAATGATCTTGGGGTAGACAGGCAAGCCCAGGATAAAGGAGCTTACTGGTAAGGTTAACCTACCATAAGCATGTACTGTACCAGGTACTATCATTCACTGTAAATGACCCATGGAAATGCATAAATTGTAACCCCTCAAAAATATTATGCATGTATAGTTTGACCCCAATTTTTTACATAAAAATTTGAGCATTAAAACTACTATACTTTAAGATACAGTAAACGGTAATTTCATGAAGTTACTTTGTGATTTTATCTCTTACATAATTATTGAAGTAATATCCTCACTTTATTAAAGTTATTAACACCACAGTGTTAACTCTCACTACTGTGTCATGGGAAAATAGGCGGACGTTCTGCAACGTCACCCGGGGCTTAAGGGTTAAGACATTTTGGGTTAGTATTTTCATTATAGAAAAGTATCTTGGCTTTTATAATGGGAGTCTATGGAAAAATTTATCTGATTTACGAAAGGTTTTACAGGAACAGAACTCTCTTGTAAACTGGGGAATGCCTGTAGAACCTTCCTAATATTCAAAGTACCAGAAAATAGTAATTACAAGTAATTACCATCTAGTCCTTTAGGTCCAATTAACTTCAGATCTCATTCACTTGCACGTCCAGCCCACTTTAGTCTAGTTCACATCAGGTCCAGCTCAATTCAGGTCCACTTTAGACAGTGATGGAGAAAGTATCTGGAAGTATTACTTAAAATAAAGTACAGTACTACAGTACACTGTTGCTTTGTACAAATTATAATTTGTATAAAGTAGCTTTCTTCAAAACTACTTACACAAAACAAAAGTTTAATTAACTGAAGTGAAACATACAAGTAGAAAAAGTAAAAAAGAAACTAGTATTTGTAAGGTATCAAAATTGATAAACGATGATATGCAAAGCTTAAAGTTATTAACATAATTAAGAGAGAAAATGCCTCATTTATGTATTTACAATCAACTTTGGGTTAAATTTTTTTTTTCTGTAATAACTAATCTTCATATTTCTTGTGGCACACCTGGGCTGGAATATCAGTTCAGCACAAATGTTAAAATGATTTTATGCTTTTACTTTATATACAGGTAACTCTCATTTTACGTGCGTTTGATTTAAGCGTTTTTGGAACAACGCGATTGTTCAATTAATACCAAAAGCTAATTTACACGCACCTATTTTTTAAATAACGCGCTCAAGACAGTTTAAATTTGCATCGTGTATTCACCTGGTCGCCTGGCAGTGGAGTCGCGTGTGATGCCTGTTGAGGTACTTGTAAGTTATTACTATAAAGTCGCAGTCATATCAACATCAAAAATTTTATATTAATAATAATAATAATAATAATTACAATAATGTAATAATAAAGATTATTACATTTAATGGTGAAGATAATGAAGTATTCTGTACAACAACTCTGACCACGTCCAGCAAGCTTCCCGGGTATCACTTTCTCAGTTCACACCAGCACTACTACTTCTCTGTGCTCCAATTTGCATTGTGTTTATCACGTACCTTTTTAGTGTTAAATGCTGTTTCCCCCATTGAGCATGTCTGTAAAACACACATCTGCCTCTGGGACGCCTAAAGCTAAAAAGGCATGAAAAACAATCACAATGGACGTGAAATTAAATGTGATCACCGGCCTTCAGAGAGGAGTGTGTGTGAGTTGGCCGCATGCTTGGTTTAAGTGAGAGCACTGTTCGTACCCTGTGTGGCATTTGATGGTTCCCTTAACCTGTACCATTTACATGTATTCTTATGGGAAATTTATGTTTAATTTAAGCGTTTTTTAATTTAGCGGTGGTTTTCAAGAACGTGACCCCCACGTAAAACGAGAGGTGGGTGTACTCTAAACACAAACACTTTGACACTTATATACACACACAAACACAAAAAGACCAAGTTAGGGATTTAATTACAGGTACTCCACCGATTTTCCGGCAACGGATGGTCCGGCACCTCTTTTAGCCCGGACAAAATTCCCGCGACCTCCAGATTAGTTTACTGGGCTGCCCACAGATGGTATTGCGTGTTAACCGCGCTCGCTTTGTTTGTTTATTCTGCAGTTGCTGGTGGTAGCTTCTTGATTTTGTGTAATTCTCAGCTTATTTTGGACATATTTAACCCCAGCTATGGCTTCAAAGCCAAGTACAAGTGTCAGTGGTGGTGTAAAGCATAAACACCAGTCCACATCGATACAAGATAAGGTGGAACTCTTGAGAAAACTCGACCGTAGTGTTTCGGTGCGACGGGTGTGTGATCAGTATGGTATTGGTTCGTCAACTGTGTATGATATAAAGAAGCAGAGAGAAAAAGTAACGAGATTCTATGCAGAAAGTGGTTCCAAGAAGCAAATGTGCATTAGAAAAACATTGAAAGGCAGTAAGAGTACTGAACATGATAGAGTGATGAGTTTCTAGCAGCCATGGTGCTTTAAAAATACCGGGGGGGTATATACCAAGTGGCTCAAAGGTGTATTGCTTAATTATTATATATGACCTCTGTTAATCCGGCAAAACGGATGGTCCGGCAAGGCTCAGGAACCAAAGGTGCCGGAAAATTGGTGGTGTACCTGTATTACTAGTGTAGAGGATAAAGAACAAGATACAGTAAACTAAAGCAATAAATAAGACAACTCCAACACAGTGATAACGTGGCACCTGGGGCTGACTAACATAACATGTCACGAGAACAATTGCAAATAAACAAACACAAAGACAATCGCATTATAAAGAACCTGAGGTGGAGGAGGGAAGGAGAGACAGTGAGAAATGTGGGACTTTATACTGTATAGGAGTTGCACATCACAAGTGTAGCTTTAAGTAATACTAGTAACCCCGAGAGAACAAAACCCTGAATGAAACAAGAATGACACCAGTCTAGTTAATAAGACTGGACTTAAATGCATAGGTGGATACAGAACAGGCAGACATCCTGGGGTTGAGAAGATGTGTTTACCAGGTTATCACTCACCATCCAGAAAGGACAGGTGGTGGTGTACTACTGTGTCATGGAGCACCTGACAATAACCAGTAATGATGAGCGAATGAAATTAAATCATCCAAATTTACTTTTGGTGTGAACTAATAGCAGAGAACAAAAAGCAAGGTGACAGTAGGTGTGTGTTATAAGGCTGACTCAACCTCACAGGGAGATGTGGACAGACTCCAATGTCATCCAGAACAGACAGTAGACTGGGTGACTCTTACCATACAAGCTGAGGAGCATACCTTGACCTTCAAGACACAACACATGAAGGAACCTACTAGAGAAAAAACATTCTGGATATACTCTTGACAACAGAGGTAGCAATGGTGGACAAAGTCCACATCAGGGAAAAATTAACTCTGGCCCACAATCACCTGACCCTTGCTTTATGTCAACTCACTATATACACAAACTCTTGAGAAAATTCTGAAGGACACAATCTTCCAACACCTGACCGAGTAGTCTGATCAATGTATCACACGGTTCCATAGAGAATATCCTGTTTGACACACTTATTCAATTTCCTAGAAATGGTAACAC